TGAGACTTTGGAGAAACTTAGACGAATCGGGTCAATTTTTATTCATGGTAAAAAAGTAATAAAAAACGAATTTGGATATTAAGTTTTAATATAAACTCTTAATTTTTTTTTTACAACTTTGACTTAAGTTTTATATACAAAATAATAACATAATCATTTCTTATTGTATAACGAAAAAATATTAAGAGGAAATTATTCAATTCATCTAAAAATTGAGAGACTAAACGAATCACCAGTTTCCTAGAGTGATTTAGCAAACTCTATAAAAATCATTATAGTTTACATAAGTTTCAACATTACAAAGTTATAGAATTCGTAATTTTTTAAAATCGTGATTTTATGCGAGAGAAATAATTCTTCATGCACTCGCGATTTCTGCGTTCTGTCCCAAAATTTATATTGATTCGATTCGCCTATGATCTGATTTTCTTTGGTCTATACTAATAGGTTAAAAATAGCTTTTTCATGATTTTTTATTTTCTTTTTAAATTCAAAAATCATAAAAATATTAATAACATTATTAAAATTCTGATCAGAACTATAAATGTATTGTTTGTCTCCTTAAAAATGCACTTTTTTCAATTTCAATATCTTACTTTTTATGTTATAAAACATTTAAATGCAGAAATTTGATGAGCTATCGAATTTCCGCCTATTAATGCACATTATCAATATCATTCAATTAATTTAAAATCAAAACTCTATAAATAAAAAGTGGTCAAAACTCTTCATCGCCCATGTAAACGGAATTTTAGTAATTTAGATTTTTAACGTTATAGCAAAAGTTTTTATTGACACAATATTTATTCAATAAAATACGTAATGTCGAAATTTGAATAATTAGATAAATGAACATAATTCTTTGTGACAAATCCTATTCCAAATAGGTCAAAAGGTTTTTGATTCGAAAAAAGCACGATGATTTTATGATAATTTTGTTTGATGGATAATTAAGTTCTCATATTTTCATATCGTGATTGCGGATGGATTTAACTTGATATCAAATTTGTTCTTCCGACGATCAAAGGGTTAATCGCCAGTGCTTCGTCTCACGCACGAACGGCGGCTCAGCTGGCGTGGAAATAGCCGATAAGATTAGAGACGCCAATCTATTAATCTGTCGTAATCCAACGTCGCCGGATTCGACGTCGTAAATCTGCGCGGCGTGGCGAAATCTCAGGTCTCCGTAAAAGTATTTCTTACCCCCAACTTCTTCGCGTGGATCAATCGGCTTGCCATTTCCGGGACGATCTCTTCGACGTCACATTCGCACATTATCCTCTATCTCTCTATCTCTCTCTCTCTCTCTTTCTCTTCCTCTCTTTCTTTCTCTGTTTCTCTGTTATTTTCTTCCCTTTAACCCCATCGAGCGTCTCCGAGTACTCTCCTCAACGTCGTTTGTTTCATCCCCCGAACCAAGCAAACAACCGAATCTTTAGTCTAGCCCAGTCTTTAGTCTAGCAACCCGTTAGGCCGGTTTACACGAAGTCAGCGGAGAGGCAAATCCGATGTGAAGATCACTCGTTCGCTCCTCGAAACGAGCAGCTGGTTAGGATTGGCGTGTACTTGAAAGTCGAAAGCGTTAGTATCCGAGAAACACAAGCAACGCGAAACAATCCTTCAAGTTTGACAGAGATTAAGAGCGATGATAAGATTCTCGAGGGTACACCTAGCCAGAGTCGAACAAATATTGATGGCACCGGGACGAATTTCTCAGTTAAATTGGAACTTTTCAACCCCTGTTCATGATCTCGCGAATATTCGTTCAGACGAGTCAAGTGAGATGGAGTAAGGAGACTCCTCACTCTTGAGATATCGGCGTAACGAGGGAAAGTCGAGCACACATCTCCTCGCTATTACAAGAGCTTTCTATTCGTTTGCTCGCCCGGCAACTTGTCCCCTACTCGACTGGCTCGTTGACTACGAATGTATGGTAACTAGGCGTGTGTATATCTCGTGGCTGGCTGGGATGTACTCAGGAACACAACAACGAGCCCATCCGCAAACAAACCGATTCGCGTGTAGACCAATATCCTTCCAGGATATTCTCGTTATGTGTACCGGCCATGTCGCTGCATTGAAACGGATGACTTCCTGTCGCGCGGTAAATCATAATAAGTGCACGCGTAGCGAACAATCGATGTAATTGGAACCATATGCGAAATATCTATAATATCTACGCTCAGAGAAAAAAACAGTATAGCTCTAGCGACTGTAATGCGGCAATTTTGAGATGTAGTATGTGCGATTAATTTTATAAAATCATCAAAACGAAAATAATGCTTAGAACTATTAAAAGAGTGATAACGGCAAATGTGAAGTAATTTAATATTTGTGACTACGGAATATGTAGGTATAGAAATTGTTAACGGCTTACGTTAATGGATATTAACATTATTTCATTAATTATGTAAACAGTTAAATAATATATGTATACACAAATATTATAGTTAAATAGCAAAGCATATGTAAACAGTTAAATGATATGTATATATATAACAAATATTAAACTTAAATAGCAAAACAATACTATAATACATAATTATGTAGATTTCTCTCTCTATCTATCTCTCTTTCTGTTTCATGAAATGTAATAACGTTATTTTATTTTTTACACGATTTATATATTGTTCTGAAATGAATTATTACGCTAAATTAATACATAACATACTTTTATATTTTAATATATTTTTCATTAATGTTGCTATTTATATTACTATTTAGTAGTCAATATTATTATATTTCTTTAGTTTAATTTAATTTTTACAATTTATTTATTTTTCTTATCGCAAGTTTGCAATATTGTGATATATAGTTGAAATAATATTTCTCTTCTTAATTTCTCTTCACTTTCTCTAATTGCTAGTACTATTTTTTTTCTCTGAGTGCGATACTTAATCATATTTTTAGTATTTTTAATTTATTGACGTTTAATGATACACGAAAAAAATAACTAATTGAAAATAATCTTGTTTATTTAACGAAGATAAGTCGTCTATTCACAAAGGATTAATATTAAATCATTTTTTTATATATGTATATTTTGATCAAGCGTGTTAAACGCATTAGAATTCCGTCACAAGAGCTACAAACGAAGATTCTCTTGAAACCATCGATTTCACTTATTGATGATGTACTGTGTAGAAATTCAAAGTTTGGAAAATCTTGCGAAACAAGATGTCATCAGGCAGTTTGGTCAACGAGGAGGCGACAATTGCTGCATTTCCGTCGTGTTATGTGCTTGTTAGGGTTTGTCACTTTGTAGGTCGACTCAAACTTGCCTCTCTGCTGATCTCGGTTAGACCGACCGCTCTTAGTTTAGCAGTAGCGCCGAGCTAGCAGTCGGCGTAGATGATGAGCGCTTGTTTAGGAGCGACGGAGGTAGAAAGCGACGTTAGGATGAGCTGAGATACGGAGGGAGATAAGAAGAGATATCTCGGTAACGTGGGAGAGGAATCGTCACCTGTCTGTTATATTTCTGGGCTCTCTCTGGTTGCACCAACGTTGGTTACCGCTAACTGCGGTTGGCTAAATCTCGTCTCTATTTATCTTATAGCGAGAATAATCCAGGAAGCAGAGAGTGGATGATAAGAATTAATTAATAATTACAGTTTATCTCCAAAGTCTATTCCATTATAATCGGTTTATACGAATAATTATTATCATCAACGTTTTTTTTATTTAAGATATAGCTGGAGTTATCTAGGCAGAATTTTCTTCCATTTTCTTTTTAACAACATTGCTTAAGCAAAACTGATAACTAACAATAAATTAATTTCTGTACATTATGATAACATAGCACAATCTGATTAAGTAAATATTTCTTCTTGGTAATATTTCTTTTTGATAATATTTCTTCTTGCCATCGTTACTATAATCTAATAAAAAAACTTACTAAATGGTTAACCAAGTTTAAGTGCATCTGGCCTTTAAGCCAGGGTTAAAAATAACTCGTTGCTTGTAACGAAGTTACAGTGAAGATTACTTCTTTTATAGTAACTATAACTTAACTTAGTTACATTTTTCTTACTTTACTTCTTTTCTTTCCATCTATAACTTAACTTAACTTAGTTACATTTTTTTTATAACTAGTAACTAATTTAATATATTTTTATGTATTTCAAACTTATTCGTCAACATACGGGCTGACAAAAATGAAGTGCTAAATGTGAACAATTAGTGATTATTTCTTGTGATTGGAATATATCTTTATCCTTGATAATCATCATATTCTGCAGATATATCTGTACTAAGAATCAAGCTAGAAGCCTTTTATATGACTATTTATTATTATATTGAATATCGATCTCATAATTTTGAGGTTTCAAGTATTATTTTATCATAAATATATCATATTATATGTATAACTGAATTTCGTTATCAATACAATATATAACCGAATAATTTAATAATAGAAATAAATGCAAAAAATTAACAAAAAGTAACTGAAAAGTAGCAACTCGTTAATTTTTAAGTAACATGTTACTTTTTCAGAATCGGTAACTTGCAACAGTAACAAGTTACTTTTTGAAAGAAAAAACTGTAACTAGTTACTTTTACAAAGTAGCTTTCTCAATCCTGCCTTAAGCTTAACTGCATCGTTAAGCCTCAAGCCAAATTTTCTTTGTCTTCGTCGTTAGAGTGAAAAATGTAGAAGGGATCAGAGAAATCTAGAAGGAGAATCAGAATTAATCATCAAGGCCGTTCTTGTTAGGTCTAATGACATTATCCTGATCAAGTTTACCGTAGTTGATATGTAGGACAGTAGATCTCTTTAGTCATCGTAGTTAGGCCCGACACCAGAGAGCCGACCGAAGTTAGCTTCCACGATAACCGTTGGTGCAACCGATCCCGTGTCCGTCCACGACCACGTGTCTGTCTAATGCTATCTTGCACTTGTGCTGTCTGTCACGTTGTCCACGTGCACCGCGAAACGCTCGCGAGCAGGAAGTGGGTGTATTAATTAACCACGTTGTTATATCGGCATAACGCCCACTCAGTTCCCGTGGTGGTGCAAGTCGTCCTCGTCGACGATGGCGGCGGCGACGGCGCCCTCCTCCATGGCCGCGGCAGCCGGCCCAGCATCCGCCGGCGCCGCTTCCGGTACCCAGGGCGGCCAGGGCGTCGTACTATGTCCACGTACGCTGTCGCAGGTGCGACGGACACGACTACGCCGGGCCCTCACCGAAGCGACCGCCGAGACCGTCAACTACGTCAAGACGGTGGGAGACGACGATTTTTCGCTATCAAGCCCTATTATGCGCGTATACCGGGTGTTCCAGATCTCAACGCCCCCTCGTCGCTTCTCGGTCCTGGCGACCTTGAATTTTAACCCCTCGGATTAATGAGACCCTGTTATTCCAAATTTGCGCATTAAATTGATAAAAGTTTCCTCATGTTTTTAAACGCTCGTGATAAAACTTGTCTTCATCATCGTTCCGTTTAACTGCCCCTTCAATTGTATTAATTTAAATGTACTTATGTAATGATCCGGGATTGTGAGGGAAACATGTGATTTCTGGGATACCCTGTATGCGAATTTGCCTTGCATAACGTATGCACATGCACGCACAACGTGACTGTACTTGGCGATGATATTAGCGGGAACATTCGACAAGAATGTTTGACACGCCCCGTGTAGACGTATTAAATAACGACGTCTAGTAGAAATGGTCAATGCTATGCTTCTGCGCGAGCTTCCCTTTTATGATCTTTCACGCCGGACGCCATAATTTCATTTACGTGCACGTAAAATGTGGCGAGAACTGCCACGAACAATTTGCAACGTATGAAAGGATAAAAATGTATGAATGTCATAAACAAAATTTTTGAAAGACAATTGTCCTTCGATCCATGCAGTCGTATATTGTTAGTGATCGAGCATGTGTTAATTCGTTTTAAATCAATGTTTTTTTTTTTAACATTTCCACATTTGAGTTATTTTTGCACTGAAGGAACTTCTCACAAATATCTGGAACCAATTTAACTCTTCTTGAAATATGTTATTAAAAATTTAAGAGATAGTATTTTTTATATCGGATCTTAAATCTAAAATTTGTAATTTTAGATTTAAAGGATAGAACAGCACCACAGAATTTAACAGGGAGACATTTTTGATATATTAGACTTTTGAAAAACCTAAATAGTTATCAAGTATATAAAAATCATAAAAGTTTTGTTTAAAACTTTTTTTATATATTTCACCGTTTTATTAATAATTAATTTGAACCAATTATAAGCATTAGCTTTGAAGGACTATTTCACCCTTTAAGTCTTAAATTGGGCCAATATAAAAAAATACGTATCTCTTAAATTTTTTTAACAACATATATCTCGAGAAGAATCGAATCTGTTCCAGACAGTTGTAACAGGTTCCTCGTGAGAGAAAAATGTATGATATTTATGACTATAATTGCTTGGTAAAATAATAATGATTAGAAACTCCATTTTTATGGACATTACTATAATGTTCTATGCTAAAAATATATAGTAGATCCGATTGTAATTTATAGTCATTTATGGTTAAAAATTTCATTTTTATAATTATTACTATTGTGTAATGTTTTAATATAATAAAAATTTGCACCGACTCGTTTTTACGCAAGCTATACTTTTTTATATAAAATATTATAGCAGTAATATAATTATAAAGCTAGACCTCCTAAACTGTAATTATAGTCATAATTATAGTCATAAATAGGCTTTTCTCTCAGTGCGATATTCGAGAAATTTTAGTACGACCATTTAAACGATAAAATAATCGTGCCATAAAAAGCATTTTGTACATATAATCCGTTCGATATTAAATTTATTTAATTGTAAGTTACTAATAAGTTTATTTGAAAACAGCTGTTCCTGAAACTAATCTCCATCTGAAAGTACGTAACGTGCAGTGAATGCTAAAAGTATAATATTATTATACTTAAACAGCAGAAATGTATCTTTAAATATTCCGACATGCGAAAGTTTACAGAGACGCATAAAAATGCAAAGGCCGTGTAAAAATGAAGGCGCGCCTGCAATAAAATCTCGAGAGTTCGCGTTAAGAAAAGTACATCTGGCAAATATTGATCGTAACAATCTGCGCTTTACGTCGCTGCACTTCTCGCGTACGGGACGCATTTTCCGTAGTAAACGGCGAAACGGACGCGAGAGACAGAAAATAAAATAAAATCTCCTCCCTTAAGCGTATATACGAGCGAACGCCCCCGTACGTATGCGGTCGGTCGCGGAAATCTCGTCTCTTCGCGCGAGAGACTTTTGGTAACACGGTTTTGGTAGCCAAGAACGCGAGTTGTCGGAAAAGATTGCTCGACCGAGCGTCACGCAAAAACTTTCACGAGTTCCATTTCGCGAGACGCATACAAAATCCCCTCCGTCCCTTTTCTTCCACAGACGCCGACAGACTTTCCTTAATATCGCGGGAATTGTAAAGTTAGCGGATGCAGCGAACTCGACGCATATATTTTTAAATATCTCAGAAGACACAGAAAGTAATACGGCATATTGTAACTTGTATTATTAAAAAATTGCTTGGAACGGAAAATTTTGTACAAAACTGCAGGAAAAATTTTTTAATTAGTGTATTCTTCTTAATTTATTTCTGCTCAAATTTTATTCGTTATATTATTGCGTTACTTGTTGCATGAAAATATTTAAATAATAACGATAGGTTTTTGTTATCGCGCGCGAATTTTTGTGTTTAAAGAAAGCTAAACGATGCTGCTCTTCACGCGCAGTGAAACGTAAAAAAATGGCGCCAACACTGAATTTGGAATCGATCCAACAATCCAACAATGTTAAATTCCCAAACACCGCGCTCGTCGATTGTTATGTCTAACTCCGAATGTACGTAGCTTTTTGATTTTTATCTGCGGATTATATAAAAACGCTTTCCAATATTTGACCTAGCGTAGTCACCGTAAATATTTCAACGCCAACTTTCCGCGCGCGTGAATAACATTTTCACGAAATCGTTTCTACCTCGGTCAAAAATGTACAAAGAAAATCGGGAGATTTATTAGGCTATATTTTTAAATTCTACGCACGTTGATTTTCTAATGGAATTCCCTAGTATAATCCGTTTCAATTTTCTTTTTCAATTAAGTTAACATTTGATTCAATTTACATATTTGCTCTTTCACTATGTTCCCTCGAATTTCAACATTCTCGATCACTAACTTTGGCATAAGGATAGAATACAAATTATGGATAAAAATTATGTTTATTCATTGAAATTATTAATAAAAATTATAATCTTATACAGATCCTCACGTTACAATGTACTTTACTTTTTAATTACTAAATCAGAAAATTCTAAAGATTGCAAGTATAACACACATTCTACAATAAGTCATTATACACGGAGAAAATTTTATATTTAAAATTACTATAATGTGGTAGTAGCAGTCTTCATGTAAATTATAAGTTTAAATGCTATAATTATTATTTTAAAAACAATAATACAATGTAATTTTTACACTTTTTTATAGTAAATCTTATAGTAAAATTTTTTATTATAAAATCAAATCTTGTTGAATGAAAGTTAGTATTGTAAAGATAAGTAAAAAATATATACCTAGCAAATTTTGTTTGCGTACCATAGTAAAAATTAACTGTTTTCATGTTAAAATATGGCTTAACAAAATAATTATTTTATTTATGTGATAAAAATTAGTATTACCATAGTAAAAGTTAAAATTATATTAAAACTTAATATAAAATTTTCTCCGTGTAGTATAATAAATTAGAAGTCAGAAGCTATAGAAATTGACCAATCATGCTCAATTATTCTTCTTACATTTGACTATGATTGGTCAATTTTTAGTTTCTGACCTCCGATTTATTACTAATGGCTTATTGTAAAATGGCCGTTATATTTTCAATATTGTTTATACTTAAATTGTAATATATTAACAGTGTACATACGTTGTCAAATTATAGCTACATCGCACGAAGGTAATGTTCAGTATGTTATCCAACAACAGTATGTTGCCCACGACGTATGCGAGTGCCTTGTACCGGAAACAGAGTCAGCAAGCATGAGCGGACTCACAGAGTTTCGTGTTTCGGCGAACTTTCGAGGGAATGCTTGCCGAATGAAAATGGCGTGTGCTTCCGTTCTGGACGTGGAACGCACGATTTCCGCCGGATGTTCCGCAGACATCTGCGACCCCTGTGATTTACCCCGAACGATCATCGTTCAAACGCCGCTCAATACGCGTTCCACTCTGTGTACATGCAAGATATGTTTCTCACCCATATAGTTAATGTCAGCAACTTGTACAGGACGATCCAGAAGTACCGCGAAAACTTACAGTGTACATCAAGGCCGAAAAATAAAGATAAAAGTATCTACGAAAGTATAACTGAAAGAAAAGTTCTTTATAAATTTGTGACTAATTGCATGTTATCATAAATTATTACTGCTATAATATTAGTAACAATAATTGTGTATATAGTTCTATCGACAAATGTATACAGCTGGCAATCCGAAAATGTTTATATCTGTAGTTATTATAACCATAAAAGTGCACTGAAAAAAATGCATGTAATTTTACATGGAAATTACATGTTTATAATTTTCGACAATTTCCAGTAAATTTCCAATCACATTTAAGGAATTTAAGTAATTTTCCGATCACAAACATATAATTTCCATGTAAAATTACATACATTTTTTTCAGTGTGGTTTCAATTACTATAATTATAATTATTGTCATTTTTTATTGTCAACTGTACGAGTATGTGACAAACATTACTAAAATTATAACAATAATAATCGCAATTACGATAATCTGTAATTGCCATCACAAATACCAAAAATTTTTCTCTCAGTACATCTAGCGTTTGTTATTTAAGAATCTCAAAATTCTCGGATCTGAAAATCGTAGATCACATAAAAACGTTTTCGATTTGGATAATCTTGAAAGTCTCATATTCTTGCATTAGTAAACCTTTCAAGCAACCTGCATTTCTATAACATTTTCAATACATTTAACGTTGAGACGCATCATATTAAAATTTGAAAAATTCTTGGATCATAAAAATCTAAACGTCTGAAAGAATTTCTACGGTTCCACGATTTCCAAGTCCTTTGGATTCTGCATCTTTAGTGCCGCGCCGAGACGGCGAACGTATTTGCATTTTCGTACGGTAAGATCTCGGAGAGTCGGCAATTCTTTTCTGTTGGACTCCTCAATTCTGATATCCGGAGATTTCAGGATTTTCGAGATCCTCGTGCGAACGTCTCGCATCTCGGCCACTTGCCAGACGGCCGAACGCTCCCGGTGAGATGGTACTTCCGGTTCGTGCGGTACAGCATGTTTTCGCACGCCTCATCGCC